AGAGAGAGAGAGAGAGAGAGAGAGAGAGAGAGAGAGAGAGAGAGAGAAATGAAGTCAGGAGTCCCCAATACCCTTCTAGATGAGTGAAATAACAATGCTGGCATGATCGCTCAGCAATTGGGAGAGGTTGCCGCCTTGTGGAACGCCTGAGTGTGGTTCCACAACCCACATGCTGGCTCACAACTGCCTGTAGCGTCTCCTCCGGGAGATCTTAGGCTCTCCTGACCGCCCCCAGCACAGCACTCACAGGCACACGTACACGCCCTTGCACAGATACATGCGCACACAAGCACGCACAGTAATAAATCTTTCAAAATAAGGTCAACAACAGTAATAGCACTAATAATAACATTATGGTGGAAGAGAGGTTCGACCCATAAAGATGTTTGCTGCTCCAGAATGAGGACTTGAGATTCCTCCAACTGATGTAAAGAGCTCGACGTGGTGGCACATATCTAAAATCCCAATCCTGGGTGAAAGGGGGCAGGCCTCGCCCTAAGAGTCACTGACCAGGCAGGCAGCCTAATCACAAGTTCTCTAGGGCAGGGAGTACGGAGCTCCAGGCTTCGAGGCAACACAGCTCCCTCCACAGGAGAATGACCTGATCTCCCTGTGCTTCGGTGAGGGCATTTGCAGTGTGAGCATCACAGGTGCTTCCTCTGTCCTTTTGAGAACTAAACCAGGCAGAATAAAACCAGAGCAACAGCAATAAAATATAAATAAATAAATAAATAAATAAATAAATAAATAAATAAATAAACAAACAAACAAACAAACAAACAGAAGGAGCCTCCTGTCATCAAGGAACTTGTTAATTTATGGCGTGTGTGTGCGCACAAGTCCCGCACTGCATGTGGAGGTCAGAGGACAACTTACGGGAGTTGGCTCTCTCCTTCATCGTGTGGTCCTTGAGCTTGAACTCAGGTTGTCAAACTTGATGGCAAGGCCCTTTATTTGCTAAGCCATCTCACCTGTTCCCAGCCACGTTTAAATCCAGGCCTATCCTGGAGATTTCCAAGATTTTGAGAAGTAAATGCATTTATTTATCTATTTATTTTGAATGAAGATTTAAAGCCAAAACCATGGTGCTTCCTGGACATAGCCTGATGTGGGTATCACAGACAGGCTGTGGGCAGACATGAGCTGTGGGAGGGTTAAGGTCCCTCCCAAGAGAACAGCAAATGTCCAAGGGCTTCCATAGGTCTTTGAGATATGATGAAATCTAATGGTGCCATATCCACATACAAGTGGACCTCCAGAGAGGGCATCTGTTCCCATCTGTCCAATGGTGTTGATGCTCTCAGGAAGTTCTGATAGACTCTCTGTCTGGTGAGACAGAGTGTCTTGTCTGCAAACTCGTGTGCTCTTATTCATTGGAAATTACGTTTTCAATCTTTCTGTGCTTTATGCTCTAGCTTCTAGCTCTGAAAACATAGATAAGAGGTCTCTTTTTGTGATTCATACAAATAAATGGCTCTCCAGATGCTGGAGAAATGTGTACATTCTGTGCTTGCTGGGAATGAGGTTCCCCAGGACAACAGTCTCTGCTTTCCCCTTGTGTGCTTCTGTCCTGTGGGTCCCAGCCTGGAAAATGTGCTCTTCCTCCCTCATTTTGTTCTTCGTGGGGTCGGTCTTAACTGTCCAGATGAAGCTCCACTCACATTGGTGAGGGTGATCTTCACTTGGTCTATCATTCAAACACTGACATCTGGAAACACTTTCATGGTCACGACCAGACGCGTTTCTCAGCTGCCTGGGCATCCGAGC